AATGAAGGATAGAGGAGATGATGGGTGTAGTAGCAGGGTGATACTTATCTGTGGGGGAAGGAATGAGAGTTTACACATGGAGGATAGTCCTATGAGAAGGAGGGGGATGGGGCAGGAGGTATAGGAGATGACTTGCAGTCACTGAGAGGAGGAATTCTTGGCACTTGGAGCTGAAGTTACGCTTTTAGAGCGATGTCTGCTGTGCGTCCCCCATAGGAGATTCTAAACTTACACTGAGAGATCAAACCCGGGAACCCCGCCCACCAGACCACACGAGCCGAGACTCCTCTGAGCTGCATACAAGAAGCCCAGCCACTTAGATCCCTGTCACATATCTGTCATGTGATGTCACGTCTGTAAATGGTGTTGTCATAGATGTAGCTGGATCTTTCCGTAGCTGTAGTCGTGGCCGAGTGGTTAAGGCGATGGACTAGAAATCCATTGGGGTCTCCCCGCGCAGGTTCAAATCCTGCCGACTACGAGCTCCTTTTAATTGCTCGGACTTTGGGGAGAGATTTGAGATTTCGGGTCTTAGGAAAAGAAAACGTTTCTGGAGTTCCCACAATTTTAGCAGGGAGCGCCCCCTTATATTGGTGGATAGCAGGGAGCACCCCCTTATATTGGAGGATAGCAGGAAGCGCCCCCTTATATTGGAGGATAGCAGGGAGCGCCCCCTTATATTGGTGGATAGCAGGGAGCGCCCCCTTATATTGGAGGATAGCAGGGAGCGCCCCCTTATATTGGAGGATAGCAGGGAGCGCCCCCTTATATTGGAGGATAGCAGGGAGCGCCCCCTTATATTGGTGGATAGCAGGGAGCGCCCCCTTATATTGGAGGATAGCAGGGAGCGCCCCCTTATATTGGTGGATAGCAGGGAGCACCCCCATATATTGGAGGATAGCAGGGAGCGCCCCCATACATTGGTGGATAGCAGGGAGCGCCGCCCCCGTTGATTGGTGGATAGTAATCAGTATTATTACATCATCACTACCTGTGCGATGACGTCATATTTCCGGATGGAAGAAGAAAAGATTGGACCTGCGTTGGCCGGGAATCGAACCCGGGTCAACTGCTTGGAAGGCAGCTATGCTCACCACTATACCACCAACGCCGCATGGAGGCCTTCCCTCCTCAGTATGTACACAACAGCGCAGTGCACCGGAAGTCGCTCATCAGTTGCTATGGTTATATCTATTTCCTGTTATCATGTCTACTGATCGGGGGGAGGGGAAATCGGACTACAAGTCCCAGTAATAGAAGGTCATGAACATGGCTGCTGCCTGCTTCTGATCTATGAACCCCACTAAGGCACCGAGCACGCTGATTGGTCAGTCACACCCACCACGGATGGAGCTCCACCCACTGCTATCGGTTATCTCAGAGTGACGTCAACAACACTGCGCTTCCCCGTACCTCGCAGTTACCATAGTAACAAAGCGTCTTCCCGTACCGTCAGTTGACATCGAGGCTTGCAACGCACCGGGTGTTATGTGACCAATTAACGGGCTGAATATTTCCACGTGCCTAAGAGGACCAATAGGAGGTCAGGGTGTTGTTGTCTGGCCCGGAGAGGGGAGGGAGGGGGATTTGTTTGGGTTACAGGGGACTCAGCTGGGAGAGGCGGCTGTACGGTACGTGCGGGGTGACCATACCTGACGCATACTACATGTATGACAGAGGGGAGAGCTGGACCGGGGGAACATACTACATGTATGACATGAGGGAGAGCTGGACTGGGGGAACATACATGTATGACACGAGGGAGAGCTGGACTGGGGGAACATACTACATGTATGATATTAGGGGAGAGCTGGACTGGGGGAACATACTACATGTATGAAATGAGGGGAGAGCTGGACTGGAAAACATACATGTATGACATGAGGGGAGAGCTGGACTGGGGAAACATACTACATGTATGACATGAGGGGAGAGCTGTACTGGGGGAGCATACATGTATGACATGAGGGGAGAGCTGGACTGGGGGAACATACTACATGTATGAAATGAGGGGAGAGCTGGACTGGAAAACATACATGTATGACATGAGGGGAGAGCTGGACTGGGGAAACATACTACATGTATGACATGAGGGGAGAGCTGTACTGGGGGAGACTACATGTATGACATGAGGGGAGAGCTGGACTGGGGGAACATACTACATGTATGACATGAGGGAGAGCTGGACTGGGGAAACATACTACATGTATGACATGAGGGGAGAGCTGTACTGGGGGAGCATACATCTACGGCATGAGGGGAGAGCTGGACTGGAGAAGATACTGCATGTATGACATGAGTTTAATATGTAGAATGTTCAACCTTGTGTCATACAACAATGATATGTGAGAATGTGATCTCCAGTCATGACACGGGAACATTGTGTTAGTAAGGTGTGACCTTCCATTCAGGTACATACATGTCTGCTGACACAAACACTGAGTACATGTTAGAGGAGCTTTCTACATACAATGC